TGTGAAAGCAAAGACACCAAACCATCGGGGGATCAATACAAATAAAAGAAAACAGAAGTCCGTCATCCAAGGAAGACACAAAAATGTGAATGGAAGACCCAATTTTTTCAATGTGTTGAATGCTTGCTTTCACCATGCTGTAGGAAGGGATAGGGACACTATGATTGGCAAACATGGACTGTACTTTGGGGTTGTTGCTGTTATTACTCAGCAGTTGAAACTTGAGTGAAACAGCTTTTACAGTGTTAAATACAGTGATCAATACACGAGAGGATATCCTTGTTCTATTAAACTACTACTACTACTACTACTGCTACTACTCCTTGATACTAATAGTATCTAGTATCATATAGAGTTGGCTAGCAAATCTACAATCCAGTCGTAGATTTTGGGCCCTTATTTTTGGGGTTGGGGTTGATGCTCAATCCCCCTTCCTCCATGTGTTCCACTCAGGCCTTGATCAAGCACTCCTCAACTGCTGTGGTTTAGACCACAAGGTCTTCAGGGAGGTTGTTGATACTTTTGCTCCAGTATCCAAAAAGTTTATGGTCAACAACAACAATGAGATTCTGGAGGTTCCTTGTTTCCCCAGTGGCAAGCCCAAGGGGAAGAAGAGGGAGGTTGATGTAGTCAAGAATAATTTGAAGCCCCTGCAGCGTCTGCTCCAGCATCATGACCACTTGTCATTGCCCCTGAAAACAGCACTGGAGGCTCTAAACCCTCCACAGCCTCACTCTTTTCTTCATATCAAAGTCCTCCTCTCCAGTACCAAGATTTGCCTTTTGCCCAATCAAGATATGGACAAGGTGTGTCATCTTCACATACTCAGGCATTTTGGGGTTTCCAGTTGAGCTCTTACTAACCCTTTTAACAACTGCATACTTAGTCTTGATGGATGTCTTGGTTTTACCTACTATAGTAGGCAGACTCTCAGCATGCTTTACCACAAGCGCATCCAAGCCCTCAGCATCAATAGGGAGCATATTCAATATCAAGCTCATGAGACTGGTGAGATCATCAAATGAGTTATAGTACCGGTCCTGCAGCTGCATTGCTAATTTGATCCATCTTAATGAAAATAGTGGGGGGGATTGGACAATGACAAGCTGGTTCCTCTTTGCAATAATAATGAGCTGCTGGTCACCTCCTCTTGTTGTTGCTATCTTTGCTGCAACAAAGAAAGGAAATAGAATGTACTGACTAACAGCACTGATCGGGACATAGTTTATGTGGCACCATATGTAGAGGCGCCTAGACGCCATTCTTGCTGAGAGACCCTATTGAGAGACCCGGCCCTATTGAGAGACCGTATTGAGAGACCCTCTCTTTGTTCTTGTTTCAGATAGTAGATGATGGGTCTTAATTTGTCAAGTACAAGCGTTGAGATTCTGTTAGGCTTTCTGTTGAATCTTACTTCAACGGACTCGAAATTTTGATTCTTGGGTTCCATCATAGATTTAGCACATTTTGGATAGGGTCCAACTACCCATCCAAAAAATGCTAAATCCATACTACATGTTGCAGATCAATTGAAACTACATTTCACAGGTGTTCCCAATGTCAATTTAACATTCTGAATGTTAGCAGCGTAGACTGCTATGTAGAAATGAGTACTGTGGTTTTTGCTTCAATTTAACATCCTGAATGGTCTGCTTAACACCAGTCTGAAAGTAAGCAGGGGAGGCCTCCTCTTCTTCCTCTTTTTTAGATCCCTTCTTCCTTTTTTAGGCACATGGCTGCAAGACTGAACAAAGAATGTGGATATTACTAGGATCTACATTGGCCTACACGATAAATTAAACAATCTGTACATTGAATTAACATTTGGAATGTTATATCTAACATTTGGAATGTTAAATTAACATTGGGAATGCCCTGTGAAACATAGTTTCAATTGATCCGCAATGCGTAGTAACAACATGCAATAGATTCTTGGTCTGTCTGTCTATCAAGTTGAGCATTTCTATAATAATGGGAATCACCCATAAATGGTTTGCAATATCAAAATTAATGGATATGATGGTTCCTATCCCCCAAAACAGGATCATGCATGCCCCAAAAATAGAAAGAGCAGACCGGTGGTCTGCTGTGGACAGGCACCTGCCACCATTGTTCTGTTCTGTTCCTTGCATTGCTGTGCGCGGGCATGAAAATTGCATGATTGGGGGCCCTCCAGTGTAGTGTTTTGTTCTGTTCTTTGTTCCTCCTGTGGATGTCTTGCTGGTGTGTATTTTCCACAAGGAGTTTAGCTCCTTTGAATCAAGGTAGTCAAGAAACATACATTTATGCTAATACATTAGTTTACAGCTTGAACATCTGTTTTCAGCTCAATCATTCAAGCTCTGTGATTGGGTGATCCCAGAGCCCGCGTCAGGGGGGGTTAAGTCCCTCCCCAGGGACACAGGCCTCATTATTCAATCTGAGACCTATGGCTTGGGCACTGCTTGGAGTAGCTCCATCACGGACACCCCAATCCTTTAAATCTGCATAACTACCAGCTGAGAATTCAATATCAACAGTGGCTTTTCCCTTGTTAAGATCATGTTTAGCTAACCTGCTGCCCCATGATGTCTGATGTATTTGTGTCTCAAACTCTTCTGGAATGGGACAAGTGACCAGCATAGTAGAGTACCACTGTTGAGGTTGCAGAACTAATAGCCAGGAGAAGCCCCCTGACCCTCAAAGGACAGCACTTCCATTTATTTTATGGGTTCAAATCCTCCGTCAACATGACCGTGTTTGAAGGCCAAAGGCCCGGGATGATGTGTGACATGTTTGTCAATGAGGTCTGCATTCGAGTTATGATGCGGTTTGCTAACAGCAACTATGTTTGGGGATAGAGGCAATAACTGGTTTCCTAAATATGGTACTTCTTGGTCGTCCCGTAACCGTCATTTGGATCCAACCTGTCGTGTGGCCCACTCCTTCATGACATGATAGCATACGGCATGAGGGTCTATCGCCAGACCAAAATCTTGAGCTTCTGAATACTCTGCTACAAAAACAAAATGACCTAGGAGATTGTTTCTATTATCCATCCTACTGAGTTTTGCCCAAACGGCTGCTTTGTTCTCATGATTGGAGCCGAACCAACCAGTTGAGTGAGTGACAAACTTGTCAAACTTGTCCTTGGGTGTAAAGCACCAATCTTTGCATATATTGCTCCTGGAACTGGCAAGATAACTCATTCACGTTGGGTCCTTGTTTTTCAATGATGGATCTTCCTATGGATCCTATGGTTGACCATAGATCTGGATTATGAAATTCAGTGGGAAAGGACCTGGAATTGCAAACCCCGGTGATGGTGTCAATAGCATTGATCTGAGTCGTATGGTACTTGCTTGTGGCTGCATTGTTTTGCAACGCTTCTTTTGAGGCAAACCACCGTTCTTCATTTGCTTTTCCATCCTGTAAGAGGGGGCAAGCCTCTACTATGCGCTTGATTTGGTCTGAAGGAGAATTGTTTTGGTTCCAGCTTAACAAAGGGATGAAAGTGAATTTCTTCTTCACCTAAAGCTTCATCTGCCGGGAATAGAGGGCCCTTGGGCTTTCCTGGTGTCTTAAGCGCCAGTTTAGCTCTGTCTTGGGCCCTTATTTGTCTTTTGTAATCCTCCAAGCTGATTGGCTTATTTGGGTCATGAAACAGAGGATACTGTACGGTTTCAAAGCATTTGTTCCAATCTAATTTGGTCTTCTTTGTTTCCAACCATTTGTTAAGGAGTGAATCTTCCACGAACGCTGCATTTGATATGGTTTCTTTGTACCTGGAGGATCGAACAGCTATTCTTGTTGGGTTTCCGAGGTTTAACTTTCCATCCCCTTATGATTGGAATGGCATTGTTTGGGCTTAATGCAAAATGACTCATTATTCTTAAGCAGGTCACTGCATAGCTCTTCCGGCCTTTTGATCACTGTGATGGAATAAACAACAGGATACAGCACCCCCCCCCCCCCCCCTGTACCAGCCGGAAGGGAGGAGATGGACTCACCACCATCATAAAAGGATGCCCCGGTAGTGCCGGTCTCAATGACAACAGAGGGGACATCTGGAGGGGCTGATGCGGCAACGAGATCATCAAGTGGGCAGCTCATTGTGAAACAGAAGAGTGAGAAATTTAGTAGTGTAGTCCCTCCAGCTTTGGTCTCTTACTAGTAGGTACTACAGATGATACCACCAACGCTGCAGTCTACTACAAAACAATGGACGTGGTGTGGTTGTTCTAGTACTAGTAGTAGTAGTAGGTGAAGGGGATTGCCTCCACCTTCATTGTGGTCTTCCTTTGATTGCCTTGATTAGCAGTGATTTGCTGCTGGAAGATCGTTCCTTTGTTTGGTGGTGTCTGCCCTCGTCTTGGTCTGTCCTTCGGTTGTGGGAATCCGGTTGGGTTGTGTTCCACGTGGAGTTCTGTTCCGTGCGTGGTGAGGGGTTCCGCTCGCAGGTGCCGTACGTACAGTACCGTACGGTACGAACGCTGCCGTACCGCAGCCCGTGGAGGAAAGGGGCAGAATGGAGGAAAGGGGCAGAAAGGAACGCACGCACGCAGACGCACACACACACACAGCGCGGCAGGCCTCGATTCGATTCGAAGCACCCCACAGCAAAGCAGGGGAAGAAGGATCACCGGATCCAACAAGCGGATCGAATCGAATCAAATCGGATCGAACCCATCCATCCGATCCGTCCTCCCGTACCGTACGGTAAAGTACCATAACGCAGAGTGTAAGCAACCTACTTGTACGATACTCGTACCAGTAACAGCCGGGCGTGGCGTGACGTGCCCCCGAGCTTCGATCGGAACATTCCACCGGTGTGGGGAACGCAGAATCCGTGTCTGTGTCTGTTCTCGATCCACCCATCGGCGCCCCGGATCCGGGAAATCCAAACCAGCGCAAGCCCCCGCACCGGCAGTTGCAGTTGCAGGTGCAGGTGCATTTGCAGTTGCATTGCATTTGTAGTTACAGTTGCAGTTGCTTTGCATTGCATTGCACCGCACCGCTCTCCAAACACCACCGCCGGTGGCTGCCTCGGTCCACCTTTTGACTCGTTTCGTTTCGTTTCGTTTCGTTTCGTGTCGTTTCGATTGGTTGGAATCGATTGGGTTGGATTCCATTCGTTCGCCATGGAGCAGGGCGAAGCACGCGTCTCCGCGGAGGCAGAAGGGACGAACCAAACCCCCAACCCCGATGCGGGAAAAGACACGCAGCAACAACAACAGCAGCAGCAGCAGCAGCAACAGCAACAACAACAACTACTACTACAGCCACAAAGACAAGAGCCGTCCCTGCCTTCGTCTCCTCCTCCCCGGGAAGAAGCCATTGCCAACGCCACAGCGATTGCCACAGCGATTGCCACGGCCATTGCCACCAAAGACCAGCCACCGGTGGCAAAAGAAACGACAACGACAGCGACGAGGACAACGATGGCGGCAGCGGCACCCACGGGCCCTGCCCCTCCGCTGCCGGAAGCCTTCCCCGAACCGGCAGCCCCCAAACCGGCAATCGAGCCCCTGCCCCCCAGGTCCGCCCCGGAGCTCTACGCCGAGGACCGCCGCCGCAGGAAGACCACCGGGGCCCTCGTCCCTTGCGGGGAACAATCCTTCGCCTCCCTCGGCCCCGAGGACCGGCAGCACTGGAAGATCGCCGAAGCCAGGGACGCGCTGCGGTACCACACCGAGTGCCTCGAGGCCATGAGCACCAAGACCGGGACTCCCGGAAGGACTCCCGGAAGGACTCCCGGTGGCACCAGAGGCGCGAGCGGGGGGACCCCGGGGGGGAGCTCCCCCCCGCGCAAGCCAGGCGGGAGGAAGCGCGGGAGGCCCCCTTCCGAACCGAACCAGAAGCCTCCCAAGAAGCATCCGACCGCGGGCGCGGGCCACAGGCTTTCCCTGGCCAAGAGCTCCTTTTCCGACTTTTTGCTCGAGCTGCTGTGGTTCCGGGTGGAGAAGGGCCACTGCCGGGTGCCCGTCAAGAAGGGCGGGGCCCTCGGCAAGTGGGTCGACCGGCTCCGGAAGGAGTACAAGAAGCTCGGGCCGGTCGCGGTGGAGGGGAGCACTTTTGCCGCCACCGAAGGTGGTTCGGGGCCTCCTCCCTTCGACGTGACGATCGGGGACCGCGGTGTCTACCTGGCCAACGCCTTTGGCCGGGGCCCGGGGCCGGCGAACGACCCCTCCGGGGAGGCCCTTCCGCCGCACGGCTGCCACGGGCCGGTCGGCGAGAACGTCCGGCTCGATTGCTATGCGCCGAGCGACCTCTCGCCGACCGGAAGCAGGGGCAACACGAACACGAACCACAGCAGCAGCAACAGCAACAGCAGCAAGACCGGTGGCACCCACCGGTTCGACCGCATCAAGGTTTTGGCCTTTCTGGGAATGGTATGGGAATTCCCCAACGAGGACTACGAGGAAATATGGCAGAAGCACTTTCGGGACCTGTTGGCCTACAAGGCGACCCACGGGTAAGTGAGTGAGTGGGTGGCTGGCTGGGCTTGGGTCTGCAAACCGATGCGTTGCGTTGCGTTGCCGCAACGCGACGTGATGGGCCCGCGAAAATGATTTCCTTTCCAGGAGGGGCTTCGTTCCTGGCACCCATCTCCGTCTCGTTTTGGCGTCGGTTGGTTGGTTGGTTTCTTTGTCTCTTTGTGTTGCTGCCCTGCCCTGCCCTGCCCCACACCGAGTTGTGTTGTGTTGTGCCTTGCGCTCACTCTTTTCGAATCTTTTTTCTCGGCAACGAAACCGTACCATTGCACTGGCGGCGACAAACAAACCCACTGGCGGACGGACACATTGGAACCAAATGTGCAACGTGCGTTGCGTTGCGTTGCACGCATTCGGTGCTGTTCGAATTTGATACCACTCGAACCACGCCACCTGTCTCGGTGCATGCACGCAACATTTTTCCACGCCACGCCAATCCCATACCATACCATCGCATCCCATCCAACCCCGGCTCGCTGGCTCGCTTCCAGGAACTGCAACGTTCCGCAGAAGGGATACGGAAGGCTTTCCTGGTGGGTCAAGATCCAGCGCGAGCTGTACGTCAACACGATGGGGCAACAGAAAACGACCAGGGCGGGGGCTGCAGGCCACACGCCGTCCTCCGGAAAGACGCTCCGGCCCCGCCAGACGATCCCCCCGCACCGCATCCAGCAGCTCGAGGAGATCGGCTTCGAGTGGCGGGTACGGCCCCCGGCCCTCAAGTGGGAGGAGCGCTACAAGGAACTCGTGGAATACAAGCGGGCCTTTGGCGACTGCAACATCCCGCAGAACTACCCGCCCAACCGCGTCCTGGGAAAGTGGGTCATGAAGCAGCGGGGGTACTACTACGACAAGGTCCGCTCCAAGAAGTCCCCCCTCACCGACGACCGGCAGGCCAAGCTAGAGGAAATCGGATTTTGCTGGGTCGCCCCGCACGTCGCCAAGACCAAGGCAAAGCTCCCGCTGCGGGAGCACGTCGTCCTGGAGCAGCGCAGGGCCCGGGACGCCCTGTCGGCCAGCCTGATGGCGGAGGCCCCAAGAAAGGAAGGGGGGCCACCCCCTCTACAAAAGACGCGGCGAAGGCAGCCGCAGCCTCGGCTCCTCGCGGGGGATCCAAAGGAGGCCGCAGCAGCTCCCGGAAGCGGGCCCCGCTTGCCACAGCAGCAGCAGCAACATCATCATCATCATCAACAACAACAACAACAACAACAACAACAACAACAGATGCCCGAGATAGTGTCACCGCGCTTTTTGGTGCCCCCCGCCCGCAGTCCTACACCGCTACAGCACCAGCACCAGCAGCTGGCCCCTTCCGCGATGGAGGGTGCCCAAGCGCGGACCCACCCCCAACAGCACCAGCAGCCGATCCTGCCACTCCCGGACGATCTCTACAACTATGCCAATGGTCTCTACCACCACCACCACCATTCGCAGCAGCAGGAACTACAACAGCAACAACAACAGCAGCAGCAACAACAGCAACAGCAACAACAGCAGCAGCAACAACAACAACAACAACAACACCCGTCCCCTCATGCTCATGCTCACAAGCAACACCACCAAATCCAAGACGGTTTGCCGGGGCAACTTTTTGGTGGGGCTCATCCCTCCCAGCCGCGCCACCCTCCCGAATCGCAACAACAGCAACAGCAACATTTTGTACAACACGGACTTTCCGGATTGGTGGATGGTGGCACCGCATCGATTCTGAACCAGATCTCAGCTACGGAACATTATCTGCCTCGGCCAGCCACGACCACCACCACTACTACAACAGTGCCTACAACAACAACAGCAGCTGCAGCACCACCACCAACAACCCTGGAACACGATCGCCACCTTCAACAGCAATACCAACCTCCACAAATGCTGCCACAAACGACGCAGCAGCAACAACAGCAAATCATGAATGCATTTTTGCCACAAGTGCAAACACAACAGCAGCAGCTACAACCAATGATGGTTCAGCACCCCCAATCTCTGCATCCACAGCAACAGCCAAAACAGATGGATCCCGGTGCCCGCCCCGGATTTTCCGCGATTGGCGGGGTTTCCGCTTCGACTTATCCGTACGCCACCCATCCGACCGGCAGAGACAACGATGGCAAGGACAATGCGGAGAACACGGACCTGGGCGGCGGAGGCGGGGATTCCGGCGCCATTTCACGGACACCGAGACAAGAAGGACACCAGCGGCACCAAAGCGGCATAAGCGCACCCCCCGATCCATATTTTATCGTGTAGTCGTCCCCGTTTAAAGGGTCGAGGCGCAAGCTGGAGAATCTTATGGAACGAAACGCAGCGGTTCGGTTGCTTTGTTGATAGCCATTGCCCAAGCAAGTACTGAGTGAGTTTTTGGCCTTGCGGCATCAAGTTGCAAAGATTCGAATATGCTCATTTCGATAATACAGCTCCTCAATTGTTGTATTTATGGTTCCGCTACGAGTGCCACTAGCTTCAGCGTAGCTGCCGCCAATACCTTCATTCGACGAAAGCTAAAGATCTTGTCCAGAGAAGCTGTCCCGCAAAATGAACAGATTGGTTTCCTTCACACTTCACACCTGGAACGAAGAACGATCTATGTATTCGTTCTCGCTACGGTTGAAGAAAAGAGCAACTGCATTATCGATTGAACAGGGTAGTCGAGAACATTAATTTAAATTAATTTAAGTACTGATAAAAATGTATGTAATTAAAAGCTGTTTATTGTAACAAACAGCTCTTTTTCTGTCACAAACAAATATGAAATGTAAAGTCTTAGGAACCGACTGAAGAATCACTTCGGCATGATTCTTCCAGTTTGGTTGTATTCCGATCGTTTTGTTCAAGTCTAAGTGTCTCCTGACACACGTCTTCAAGTATATTAACAAATGGTTTCTGGGTCTGGTCTGTTCTTCTGGTTTGAATCTTGACTCGTGACGAATCAAGCTATGATCGAGTTTTAATTCGTGGGACCTACACAGCAAATCACTCGCAATGAACCCTTTGATTCGGTTGAGAGATATCAATAGTAGATGCTACGTGTCACAACACAAGGATTTCTCTCATTCACTAGTTACACCAGTTTCGGAGCCGCGCAGCTTGCGATCGAGCATACCATCATTGTCCCCGTCGTTCGTGCAAAGGCTCTCGCATTGGATCTCAACGAAATAGCACACGGTCGGTACCTCGGCGGAGAGTTGAGAGTGGCAGCACTTTGGAATCACTGCCCTATCCTCGAGATTAACAAATCCACTGTCGTCGGCAACACATATCTCAAGGTAGGCTACCGGGGTAAGCAAATTGCAAGAAATAGTGATTGTGTCAAACGCCATGCCATTGTTTCGAACGTTTGGTTCCTCGTAGCATTTCTGGGAAAACAAGCCTTCTTTGAAACTGTAGAATATAGAGTCAATCGCAGCTCCTTCATCGACAAAAAAAGAAGTAGACCAGTGTTGTTCCAAATCGACGGTGACAGTGGAAACATCCTGATGAACGATTTGGATACTACGTCTGAATTCATTGAAGAAAGTACCGCCGTCTTGATTCAGAAGTCTCATATCGTCGAAACATGCCGAACGCTTTCCAGTCTCTTCATCAACCATTGTGCTATCATGCATGAGGAAGCTGGTAGGGAAACTTGTTGAAATACCATAGTAATGGCTTGGACTATACGTATTGTAGCCGGAGGATAGAGTGTCAGAAATGTAGGCATCCCATGATGTCAACATCACCCATTCCCCATCTGACATCAAAAAGTCTGCATAGCCACC